CCAACAATCAATTCACAGACAATTATTACAACAACAAGCTTATTTCATTGACAGCACATTTCATCGACAAATGTTTCACCGACAGTACACTTCACAGACAAGTATAATTGATTTACATATATTTCAATACTTAACATATTTTGTGGAGTAAATATTTAGAGTATTATAAAATATTTAAATATAACTAGCTCAGATTATGCAAGAAAAAAATCATTAGTAAAGAATAGAATTACTTTTATTAAAAAAAAAGTAACACTTTAGCGAAGCCAACTAGGATTATGTAAAAAAAAAAAAAAAGTAAAATTAGTAAAGAATAGAATTATTTTATAGAAATAAAAGTAATATGAAACCTAAACTGACTCATACTTTAGTGAAGCCCGACTCAGATTATGTAAGAAAAAAAAAAGTTAGAATTGGTAAAGAATAGAATTACTTTTATAGAAAAAGATAATGCAAAACCTGACCTGATTTATGCTTTATAAAGCCTGTGCAAGAAAAAAAATTTTACAGCTATTTTCATAATTCCTGAAACATCTGATAAAAATCGTAAGAAAAAACAAATTGTTAGAATCAGTAAAGAATGGAATTACTTTTATAGAAATAAAGTAACGTGAAACTTAACCTGATTTATGCTTTAGCGAAACCCAGCTTGTATTATGTAAGAAAAAAAAAAAAGTAGAATCAGTAAAGAATAGAATTACTTTTATAGAAAAAAAAGAAGCACAAAACTTACCTGATTTATGTAAAACAAAATACTTTAGCGAAGCCCAGCTCAGTTTTAGAATAAGTAAAGAATAGAATTACTTTTATATAACATGAAACCTGACCTAATTTATACTTTAGCGAAGCCCAGCTCATATTATGTAAAAAAAAAAAAAAAAAGTTAGAATTAGTAAAGAATGGAATTACTTTTATAGAAAAAAAGAAACATGAAACCTGATCTGATTTATGCTTTAGCGAAGCCTAGCTTAGATTATGTAAAAAAAAAGTTAGAATCAGTAAAGAATAGAATTACTTTTATAAAAAAAAAAGTAACACAAAACTGACCTAATTTATGTAGAACAAAATACTTTAGCGAAGCCCAGCTCAGATTATATAAAAAAAAAAAAAAGTTAGAATCAGTAAAGAATGGAATTACTTTTATAGAAAAAAAGAAGCGAGAAACTGACCTGATTTATGTAGAACAAAATGCTTTAGCGAAGCCCAGCTCAGATTATGTAAAAAAAAAAAAAAGTTAGAATTAGTAAAGAATAAAATTACTTTTATAGAAAAAAGAAACATGAAACTGACCTGATTTATGTAGAACAAAATACTTTAGTGAAGCCCAGCTCAGATTATGTAAAAAAAAAAAAAAAGTTAGAATCAGTAAAGAATAAAATTACTTTTATAGAAAAAAAGAAGTGAGAAACTGACCTGATTTATGTAGAACAAAATACTTTAGCGAAGCCCAGCTCGGATTATGTAAAAAAAAAAAAAGTTAAAATCAGTAAAGAATAAAATTACTTTTATAGAAAAAAAAAGTAATGTGAAACCTGACCTGATTTATGCTTTAGTGAAGCTCAGCTCATATTATGTAAGAAAAAAAAAAGTTAGAATCAGTAAAGAATGAAATTACTTTTATAGAAAAAAAGAAACATGAAACTGACCTGATTTATGTAGAACAAAATACTTTAGTGAAGCCCAGCTTGGATTATATAAAAAAAAAAAGTTAAAATCAGTAAAAAATGGAATTACTTTTATAGAAAAAAAAAGTAATGTGAAACCTGACCTGATTTATACTTTAGCGAAGCCCAGCTCATATTATGTAAGAAAAAAAAAAGTTAGAATCAGTAAAGAATGAAATTACTTTTATAGAAAAAAAAGTAACTTTAAACTAACCTGATTTATACTTCAGTGAAGCTCAGCTCATATTATATAAAAAAAAAAAAAGTTAGAATCAGTAAAAAATGAAATTACTTTTATAGAAAAAAAAAGTAACATGAAACCTGACCTGATTTATGCTTTAGCGAAGCCTAGTTCATATTATGTAAAAAAAAAAAATTGTTAGAATCAGTAAAGAATAGAATTACTTTTATAGAAAAAAAGAAGCGAGAAACTGACCTGATTTATATAGAACAAAATACTTTAACGAAGCTCAGCTCAGATTATGTAAAAAAAAAAAAAAAGTTAGAATCAGTAAAGAATGAAATTACTTTTATAGAAAAAAAGAAACATGAAACTGACCTGATTTATGTAGAACAAAATACTTTAGTGAAGCCCAGCTCAGATTATGTAAGAAAAAAAAAATTTTAGAATAAGTAAAAAATGGAATTACTTTTATAGAAAAAAAAGAAACATGAAACTAACCTGATTTATGTAGAACAAAATACTTTAGTGAAATCCAGCTCAGATTATGTAAGAAAAAAAAAATTTTAGAATAAGTTAAAAATGGAATTACTTTTATAAAAAAAAAAAGTAATGCAAACCTGACCTAATTTATACTTTAGCAAAGCCCAGCTTATATTATGTAAAAAAAAAAAAGTTAGAATCAGTAAAGAATGAAATTACTTTTATAGAAAAAAAGAAATGCAAAACCTGACCTGATTTATGCTTTAGCAAAGCCCAGCTCAGATTATGTAAAAAAAAAAAAAGTTAGAATCAGTAAAGAATGGAATTACTTTTATAGAAAAAAAAAGTAACATGAAACCTGACCTGATTTATGCTTTAGCGAAGCCCAGCTCATATTATATAAGAAAAAAAAACTTAGAATCAGTAAAGAATGGAATTACTTTTATAGAAAAAAAAGTAACATAAAACTGACCTGATTTATGCTTTAGCAAAGCTCAGTTCATATTATGTAAAAAAAAAAAAAAGTTAGAATCAGTAAAGCATGAAATTACTTTTATAGAAAAAAAAAGTAATGCGAAACCTGACCTAATTTATACTTTAGTGAAGCTCAGCTCATATTATGTAAGAAAAAAAAAAGTTATAATCAGTAAAGAATGGAATTACTTTTATAGAAAAAAAAGTAATGTGAAACTGACCTGATTCATACTTTAGCGAAGCCCGGTTCATATTATGTAAAAAAAAAAGGTAAAATCAGTAAAGAATGGAATTACTTTTATAAGAAAAAAAAGTAACGTGAACCCTAACCTGATTTATGCTTTAGCGAAGCCTGGTTCATATTGTATAAGAAAAAAAAAAGTAGAATCAGTAAAGAATAGAATTATTTTTATAGAAAAAAAAGAAGCATGAAATTGACCTGATTTATGTAGAACAAAATCCTTTAGTGAAGCCTGACTCAAAATATGCAAATATGTAAAAAAAAAAAGAATAAAACTACTAATATTGAAAATTGTGTTTGAAAAAGTTTGTGTTTGATAAGATTTTGCATAAATAATTTATTTTTACTAACTAAAAGTGTAGTTTTTTTTCAAATACAGGTCACTTATTGTAGTAAACTTTCAATATAACAAAGGCTAATTAAAATCCTGATATAGTAAAGTTTAGACTTACAGTGGCAGATACTAAATATGGAAATTTTTTAAAATTGATTAAAAAATATAAAAATTTATATATAAGATAATAGGGGTATTATAATGCAAGACCAATTATGACGCACCTGATGTATCTCATGATCTACTGGTCAGAATTGAGCAAGTTTGATACCAATCGATTTGTCTCATTGAGATGAGTCGAATGGTACCAAAATCATGTGATTCGGATCATTGGATCATGAGATATCACGATTTGAATACCACATAGTAAACTTTTTTTCTTGAGTTCTAGTGAAGTATAAGAATAATATATATAAAACAACATATAAATTATGTAAAATAGTCTTGAACTCATTAATAAAAGTTTAATCAAAGATCGTGGTGCAATTTTTCTAAATTTATTGTATAAATTTAAGCAGCCAATTTTTCATTTATTACGATTATATGACGTAGCAAAAACATAACAATTAAAATGTATTCGAATTTCGATCCTTAATCCATCACATAAGTCCCATAGATCACAATCATAATTAGATAGTGAATGTATTAATGTAACAATAATTTTAACTGATAAAATATTATGGCATTTACAACAAAAACACACTACCGGCATTTAGAATTCTTTAGATTAAAATAAAAAGGATTTATGCTGGCCTACTCTTACTACGGCATTTACTAAAGTACAGCGACCTCATTAAATGCATTCTCTAAATGCACTCTCAAATTTTGGCCCAAATATAAGCTTATACTTAAACCTTATAAATACACATTTCTTATTGTTTTCGATTAAAATAAAAAAAAAGAATTTATGCACTTATCACTGGCCTATTTTTACTATAGCATTCACTAAAAATAGTACAGCGACCTTATTAAATGCATTTTCTAAATGCATTCTCAAACTTCAGCCTGAATATAAGCTTATACTTAAAAATTTTGAACTAAATATAAACTTATATTAGACCCAACAAATGTACTTTTCTTTATGGCTCTTAAAAATGCACATGGTTGATTACACGTTTGACTTATAAAGGATGGATTTAGGTTTCCTCTACTCTTTATAAAATCAAATATCACAACTGATGCTAAAATCTAGTCCTATTTTTATATGAAAGTTTAAAATTTTTGGATGTTTTTTTTTTAGAGTTGGGTTAGGGTTTAGGATTAGAATTGATAATTAAGAAGTGTATATAAATTTCAGTAGGGTTTATATTTTCAAATTGAGACCCAAATTTTAGCATCAACTGTAACATCAGATAATTTAATAGTAAATCTGAAATAAAGTTTTCAAGTCTTCCTTAGCAGTGCTTATAAAGATTAATTAGGGTTTCGTGTATTAGTAATGATAATGAAAACATAATAACATATTAAAATAATAAAATTTAGTAACATGTTTGTAAGCAATAAACAATAGCAATACATTATAAATAGACATACTTGCCTTTATTTACACTTCGATAAATCCAATTTGCCTTAAACCTGTGCTTAAATAAATCAAATCAATCTTAAAATAAAAAATAATTTAGTATGACTTTCTATAATGATCAAAAAAAAGCCATCGAGAGAGCTCTTAAAGAACTTGAGAATTCTCCAACCACCTCTAATAGAAAAATTGCAAAAAGATTTGGTATTTCTGAGGCAATCCTAAGATATGTTATAAAAAATAAAGGTCCTTTAAATTGTCCAGGTCCTGCCAAAGTTTTAACCAACTATGAAGAACAACAACTAGTCAGTTATTGTTTAAACATGCAAAAACTTGGTTTTGGATTAACAAGGTCAGGTGTAAATCATTGTTTTATGAAAATTGTTAACAAAAGTAAAAGACCACATCCCTTTAATAAGAGTGGGCCAGGCAAGTTATAGTGAAAGTGTTTCATGAGGGATTATTCTGAACTTTCATTTCGTGTTCCTCAGGTCTTGAATAAGACATGAGCTCAAAGAGCTAACCCTATTATAGTGCAAGATCATTTTAATAAGCTTCAAAAAATTATCAAAGAAAATTCACTTACTCCCGATAGAATCTGGAACATGGTCGAAACAGGCTTCATTCTTAATCCCGAACTTTGTAAAGTTATTGCGAAAAAGGGTGCATGGCAGGTAGAAATAAAATTTTATTGTTAGTACTTAAAAAATAAAATAAAATAAAATAATACCCAGTGGCTCTCAATATAATAAAGATCATGGTTCCAGTCCTTTGTTTCATTATATCAAAGACTTTATAATATCAAAATTTTATGATAAATCAGATATTATAGTTAGTTTCATTATATTCTCTGTATTAAGCAATATCCGTTATATCGAGAACCACTGTGTAATAAGAAAATGTTTTTTTAATATATTACTAAATTATGTTTTTAAAATTTGATCTTTTTTTTTTTATCATCTTATCAGGTTTATCAAGTTTCTCATAGTAACTCTAATGAACATATTTCTGTATGTCCAACCATCTCCACTGCCAGATCGTACATTCTGTCACTTATTATTTACAAAGGAAAACGTATGATCCCAGATCTTTTAGAAGGTGCCCCCCTGGCTCTGTTATGGGGTTTACAGAAACTGGATATATGTGGGAGTCCCTTTTTCAAAAGTATATTGAGCATTTTATTCGCTTAATCCCGCCTGCTCGTTCTGTTCTTTTGATTCTTGATGAACATAAAAGTCATGTTAGCTATACCAATGTTAACATTTGCTATAATAACAATATCCTTCTATATACACTCCCACCTCATACTACTCATATACTTCAACTAGCTGAACTTCCATTTGCATAGCTTAAAACTATATACCATAAAGATTGTGAGCAACTTCATATCAATAATAATGAAGAAATCATAACTAAGCACTTATTTGCCAAGGTTTTAGGTCTAGCATACCTTAAAACCTATACACCCTTGGCAATTTGCAATGCTTTTAAAGCAACTAGGATATGGCCTTTTAACCTCAGTGCAATTAGCTCTGACTGCCTTGATCCTTTATTAGTTACTAAGCAGCCTGATTTTCTTTCAACACAATCGACTTCATCACCTTCAACTAACATCCTTTTGACTCAATCGATTCCATTACTTTCGACAACTGCAGCATCATCTTCACAGCCCCCTCCAAAATCAAGCTCAAATAATATATATTCCTTTACTACATTAAGATCTGAAGTCAAAGATCTCAGCGAAAGAGTCAAAGAATTAGAAGCTGAGTTGAAAGCAACAAAAAAGGAACTGAAAACTCTCAAACATCCTGATACATCATCTTTGTGAATGATTCTTAAGTACTCTTTGTCCTGTTCAAGTCCCACCAAAGATGAACCAGAGATTAGTGCCGAAAACCAGTCTGAGCCCTAGCTGCAAAAAAGAAAGAAACACAAGACTATGCCTTTTGCACAGCTTCTAACTAATGAAGCCTCATTAAAAGCATTAAGTGATGCAGAGGAAGAGGCTGAAAAAAAGGCTAATGAGATAAAACTCAAAAAAGAATCTGTGGCTTAGAAAAGATTAGAACAGGAGGCTAAAAAGGCACAAATAGAAAAAAAAAAGGAGGAAAAACAACAGTTAATAGACAAAAAAAAAAGAAAAAGTCAAATTAAATTTTACTTAGCTGTTATGTAGATCTGTAATCCATGCATCGAATGTCGCTTAACTTCTCAATGGTCATTTTCCTGACAAGCCATCACTTAGATGATAATTTGGCATTTGGTAGCTTTAGTTATACTTTGTTAGTAAATGTTCATATAGCATGATATCGATTAACTGGCCTTTTAGAGAAATGACTATCAGGAAATTGATGTACAACACTGTGCATCATTTTTGGTCCACCACCTGAAGATTACTAGTTTTTTTAAAAAAATTTTCTTGTATTATAAAATTTTTATTTTGTATAAAACTTTGGTTTAAAAATAAAAAAAAAAAATTAAAAACCTTTAGAATAGATATTTATTAAAATATTTATATATTATAAGCTAATTTTATTATATTATCTTATAGCAAATATTAACTACATCATAATATTCTCTATTCCCTTATATATAATATTTAAAGTAGTGATTTATTTAAAGTAACTATTTTAGATATATAAAGTAGTATTTGACTAAAATTAAGCCTCTAAAATTAGATCTTGATGCATACATTAAATTGTAATTTTAGTCATGAGCTACTTTAAATAAAATGGCTACTTTAGATGTTATATATATACTAATATTTGCAAAACTCTATTATTTAAAATTATTTATATAGTTATAATACTTTTAAATTTTGTTTAATTTTTGTTTATTAAAAAAATTTGTTTAATTTTTATTTATTAAAAATTTGTTTAATTTTTATTTATTAAAAAATTGTTTAATTATTGTATATAAATTGTATATTTTTGAGGATAGTAATCCTAATGTAGTGGTTGGGTTGTCATTTTTCAAGTGGCAGGTTTAAGGTTCAAATCCCACCTATGATGAAATTTGGAAATTATATCTGTATTACAGTAACTGTCTCCTGTCGATCAGTTGGCCTTATGTGGCTGTTACCTAGATATACCAGGTCAGGTCCCCTTGGCTTTGGGAGCTCAAAGCATCTATGCGAAGTGTAACATTACATGTACATAAAGGAATGTTAACTAGTATTGTATAAAACTTCAGTGCAAACCCACGATAAGACCACCAGGTGTAAAAGACTAAGGAACTAAGGTGACAGAAACCCACTTGGAAATCCCGAGTAAAAAGGTAGCATGAACTTTTGATGGTATCATCAGACTGGTTGAAGCCTATGAAACACCTTTATAGGAACCGAAAATTAAAACTAAACAATAAATATGTGTAGAGGAGCACATAACCAACCAAGCTGCCAGGTTTGCTGAAGGAAAAGAATACAGAAATATACTATACTGGGCCATCTGAATTGGTAGTCTGAATAAATGAAACTGATGGTTCTGAGTTGTGGCTAGTAGGGGATGATGAAGAAGATGCCAGAAAGATGAGTACTGGGGTTCTAGTGAACTTTACAAGGATAGAAATAGTGTAATGTGGCAGTTAAACAGATAACCCCTATGACTGCAAGTGTTAGGTAACTATAGCATGTTGTATAAAACTAGGTCTATATATGTGGGACATAAAGGCTCTAATAAGTTTTCTATCGAGGATAAAGTAGTCCTAAGGAGACTGATAAGCATCAGGAACTTGGATGGCAGCATCTTGAGATGTTCTTATGATACAAGGAGGACTGCATATACAAAGAGTTTAAATAGGCAAGACCTCTAGTTAGCTTGCAGATATAGTAACTAGTGTAAAACTTATATAGTAATATGTAAGTAAACTACTTAAATTAGGCACCAAAAGTGCATGTGTAGCTAGTTGTAATCTCCAATGTAAGGTGAGCCCCTAGTGGCATGCTATGTCCTAATATACTTGAATAAAAACATCACAACTCTCAAGATAGGGACTTTAACTAAAAAAATAAAAAAATAAAAATAAATTGTATATTTTCTATTTAAATATACAAAATCTAGCTATTTAATTTAAATCAATTTTTTAAATTTTTTTTTAATTAGACAAAAATTATACAAAATAAAGAAAATTTAGACAAAAATTAAACAACTTTAAACAAAAATAATACAAATATAAGACAACTTGTTTTTATAGGAATGCTTATTCAACTAGAAACATATCTTTTCTTATATATACAAGATTCTAAAAGACAAACAGCCACTTTGGTTTACTTATTTAGAAGACTAAGTTACAAACCATTTCTATAATTGCACATTTTATTAACATTTATACTTACCTGATACTAATTATTGCAGTTACATAACTAAAAACTTCTCATCATACAAAAAACCATAGCTCATTATTGTACTTGATGACCAAATTATTACTAAAAAAGCTAGAAGACAATCTTTAGCTTCTGGATCCATTTTTATTACCTACTAGCAATGTAATATTGAATTACAATTTACTCAATTCTATTCTTTTTCATCTATTCAATCTTATATATGCTCTAGCTGCTTTTTCAACTCCCAAATAATTGCTGATAAATGTACAATTGTTATTCTTACCAATCTTTTAACTCAATTTTTGGGTCAAGTTAACACTCATAACAAAACTCTTAACTTTAATACTAATCATCTTGATCTTATATACTTTATTACAATTCAGCATCCTACTCAAATTTCAGATTTTCTAAATATTACTATTCCTACTCAACTAATTTCTGTAATTTTTGAATCTTGTTTACTTACATATAATCTTTAACAAATAGCTAACTATAATGCTAACCTATCAGAACTTCACTTTTATACTGATGGCTTTGTTATTAATTTGAGTATTTTACAATGCTTAATGGGTATTGGATAGACCCAAATTTCTAATAACTCTATATTATATATATTTTAAGCTTAAACAAAACTTTGGTCTTGTTTATTCAAAGCTAAACTTATTGTTATTCTATCTGCTCTTATTACTGCTTTTAAAAATAGTATCATAAACATATATACAGACTTTTAATCTGTAATTTCTAAATATCAAAGCATTTTAAACTCTTTTACAACCTTATCTTATACATATACATCATACTTTTTACTATAAAACCTACTAATTAACTTTGCTAATTCATACAAAATTCAAATTAGTTTTCACAAAGTCACTGTACATCAAGATAATATGTATAATAACCTTACTGACCAACTGGTATAAAACTATTACAACTTATTATATTTAACTTTTATAGCTTACAATATCTATAACTTATCTTATATTTTAAATCATAAAAACTTTCTTTTAGAATTACCTACTTATCATAACATTTGTACAATTTGTCATACACATATTTATATACTATAGACTACACAAAACCAAATTTAAAAATAGACCAAAATTTTAAACCAAATTAATTGCCAAGCCACTTGGCTATATGGAGTGGCATCAACTAAAAGAGCTCATTTTTATATTTTTTAAAAAAATGAGTTATTAAATTCATGTATATTTTGACATAATTGATATTTTTCAATTATAAATAAAAGTTAATTTGTATAATAAAAAATAGAGATAATTAGTAGAAAAATTACATAAAGCCAAGCACCTCACAAGACTACCTGATAATCATCTGTTACTTTTAATCAATCAAAATCATGAAATTTGATTAATCTGGATTAGTCTAAAAATTAAAACAAATTATTAAACTGAATTATCTCAAAATAAGATATATGTAAAAAGAGGTCCTTTTAGTTAACAACATTTCATATATTAACAATAATCAAAAAATTTTAAACTTCTTATATAGCTTTTAATTTTCTGCTTTTAAATTTTTTAGAATTAAAATTTTAGTTAATGACCTTTTTACTTCACATATTCTTTATAAACAATATCACTCATACTCACCAACTTGCTATTAATGTTATAAAACCAGTTCTCACCTTCATTAGATAACATGTTCATCTGATCAGCTGCTATACAACCTTATTGACAGTTTTTTTTTTTTTTTTAAATATTAACAATGAGGCCATGCCTTTAACTTTATTGAAATTCAATTGAAGTTTTTACAAAAAA